TGTTAATTATACTTTTTTAAAAAATAATTAAATTAATAAACGTTTTTAAACCAACATTTTAATTTTATATTTTCTAATGAAAATGATTTGTTGAATAATTAATAAGCGAATTAATAATGTTGATTTATACAAATAAATTATTTCCACATTTGTATTTAGGATTAATTTATTTAAAATAGAAATAGAAAATCAAATTGGATGTTATTCATGTGATGTAAAACATGATTTACATTTTCAAATATTAAGAATAAAATTTATGAATTTAATTATGTTTATTAATATTAAAACAATAAATAAATCATTCAAATAGTAGTAGTTTTTGTATAATTGAATTTTAATTAAATAACCAAGTAAAAGGTGTTAAAACATAATATAGAAAATAAATTTGATATTAAATAAAATCACAATTATATGTAATATATTTATAAAACATGAATTGATATGTTTAGTTTAATTTAATATAATTTTAGTTTATTTAACTTTTTGGGTTAAATTGATATCTTAAAAGATTTTAATTTGTTTTTTTCTTTCTTTAAAATTTTAAATAATAATTTATCAATCTTTATTGTTGAAAAATAATAAAAACCATCAATTATTTATTAATTTTATTTAATTGTGGTTGATAATTAATAAAATTAAAATTGAAAGTCTTAAAAGTTCGTTATATTTGAATTGCCTTTCTGGCAGGTTTTAATTCTATTATGATTGTTAACATGAGACTTAAATTTTTCTTGATATAAAATGCTTGTAGTTCTATTATTTAAACCTTTATTAGACTTTGAAAGATTCTTAAAGAAATTAAGAGAATCTTGGAATGAGAACATTCTATCAGTAATAAGTGGTTGGGTGGATTTATGAACTCTGGTAGTAGACACATCTATTCTACTACTATATATACTATCACATTTCTCATCAACCACCTCATTATCAATTAAACCATTTGAATCTTCATTGGATTTTGAAATATTCTTGAAAAAATCAATTAATCTTGGAATGAGAATGTTCTGTTAGGAACGAGCTGTTGAGAATTTTTATGAAATCTACTGGTACTCAATTCACTTACAATCTTATCAACCACCTCATTATTAATTCTATCATTTGAACCTTCATTGGATTTTGATAGATTCTTAAAGAAATCAAGTGAATCTTGGAATGAAAATGTTCTATCAGTTATGAGTGGGTTGGAGATCTTATGAATTTTACTGATAGAAATATCCTTTGTATTATTATCACTAGCACCACTTTCATTAATCTTATCAATTACCCCATCAACCACTTTAGCAATTACACTAATAGAAGATTCATCATGTTTACTTTGATTATGAGAAATTGATAAATTGTCAATCATATTTGATGATAAACTCTTCTTTTGTAAAAGATTCACATTACCAAATTTGGCACTTTCTTCTATAATTACTGATATGTCATATACTTTAGTCTCTTTCTTCTTATCCCTACCATCACAGTTACGCATATGTTCTGAGCATTCATTGAAAATATTTTGTCTGTTCATTATACATTGTTTACATAATTTTTCTTATATTACAAACCTGAAACAAAACAAAAACAAAAAATTAATATGAAATTTTAAAAAATGATCTTAGAATGATTTAATATCATTTTAAACCTAAAATAGGATATTATTTATATTACATCAAAATGAGGTAATTTCGACCATTGTTTCAGAAATGTAAACAAACCATTTTTATTTAAATAGTAAAAATTTGAATTATTTAAATTTAAAAAATAAACAAAATTTAATATATTTTGCAAATTCATTGTTATCTTATTAAGATATAAAATTTTCAACTTTTTATTCAAAAATTTTAAATAAGATTTGTGGATAAATATTAATTATTTTTATTAAAACTAAATCTATTCTAATAATTTTATAAACAAAATCACTAAAATTTATAATTTTTTAAAAATAATTAGTTTTAGTTGTGCTACTCCTATCACTCTTATAATCTTTATAGCTTTTATAATTAAAATCTTTCATAAACTGTAATTTATTTACTTCAATTTCCTTTTATAATATTTTCTGAAACATTGACATGATTTGTTTCAGATTGTAACAACTGGATACTGTGTTTAACGACCATAAGGTCGTTAATCGTTTGGAAATTTTTATTTATCCCAATACTCGTTGCCATACTCAATTAATTGCATATATTTGGGATAAAGCAAAATTGAAGATAATAAATGACGTGAGTGAACTATCGATATTAACACGTTGGTGTTCCATCGTAGTTCTAAGGTAAAGGTAATTGTTCATCTTTACTGTACGCTCACTCATCCATTTATTTCTAATGTTCTTTGTCTTTTTCAAAATATAATAATTTTGCATGGGTAAAAATTTATTTAAAAATTTAAACATAAAAATGTTCTATTTAGAACATTTCATTTTCTATGACGTTTGATTCCTTATCAGGGATTACGTCAATAAAGAATAAAAGGTGAAATACCTTTTCAATATTACAAAACCATTTAAGTTTTTTCTGTTTCTGTTATCTTTTCAAAAAGAATCTTTTAAAATTTTTTTAAAAATAATAGGAAAAGATAGTTAATAAACTTTATTATTGTTTTTTTATTTATTTAACAATCCCTACCATCTTAGGAATAGGGGTTGTTGAATAAATATTTTTAATCTTCTTAAAATTTTACTTAAAAAATTATATATATAATTTGGGGCGTCAATCCTATCGTAGAACGTCAATCGAAACAGTACCATCAGATAGAACAATAAGAAGAGTTCTAAATGAATTAGGTTTTAGTAGTATTAAACCATTTTCTATACCAAAATAGACTAAAACACATAAAATTACAAGATTAAATTTAACCAAAAAGTTTCTTTTTGTAGGTAAAGATTATTGGAATGATATTATATTCACTGATGAGTAGTTTTTTTCAATGTATAATGACTCGGAAAATATAAAATATGGGTAGATGAAAATAAAAAAGACCTGTTAATGAAACCATTAAATATGGTAAAAAGAAAAGAATGGTTTGGGGATGTATGTCCTCTAAAGGTATTGGCAATATGCATTTTTTAGATAGAAACATAGATGCATTATACTATGTGGAAATTTAAGAAAATAATTTACCATCTTCAATGTCAATGTTTGGTTTTGAAAATTTTAAACTTTTACAGGATGGTAATACTAAACATAGAAGTAAGTTAGCAAGAAAATATTTTATATTTAACAATATTTTATTAATAGATTGGGCATCTTATTCACCTGATTAAAATCTATTTAAAAACTTATGAGCTATAATAAAAAGAAAATTGAAGGGTGTTGAATTTAATAGTATTAATAAAATGAAAGAAATTGTACAAGAAGTATAGATAATATAGTTGTTAAATATGTATAAATCTTGTAAACAGTATGTCTAAGAGAATAAAAGGTGTTATAAAATCAAAAAGACAACATTCAAAATATTTAATTTCTATTTCTATTTTTTATTGTCTTTTTTTTATTTATTAAATTTTTATTAAATATTTTTCTGTTATTCTATTATAAATATGAACTTTTAAAAATTAAATAATATATTAAATTTTTTCATAAAAATTTTTGGATCAAGTCTGAAATTTTCCCCACAGGGG